GTATGTATGTTTCTATTTATATATATATAAATGTATACATATGTATATATGTATGTATGTTTATATGTAACTATGTAGTTGTATTGACTCTAATATTTGTGGTGTTTTGTCTGAAAGTTGTCTGCGTACATCCTAGTCCACTATTCCGTTGCCAAACCACTCGTTTCGTCTCGACTAAACGCAGTTGCGATCCACATACGTTCCACATGTTATACCGTACTATGTTGCTTACTTTGTGACACTTATGACTTAATGCATAGCACATAAAAATGCGCCGCTATATCATACATAAATAAATAAATAAATATTTCAGCCACATAACCTATAAACAATCGGTCAAATGGCGTAGTACTTCATCGATCCCTAGTATAGCGTGTTTTGACAACAGCCTCTCGTTTTATTATCCTATTAGTCCACATCTCGACCTATTTTACATTGATCCGAGAAGCAAAAAGTAAAAACTACCTGGTGCTCATCGGCATACGAGAAATCGTACGAGCTATCTATCTATCGTTTTCAAGCAAAGACGACAGTTCGTTCAAAATTGTTTGCTCGCTACATTTTCAGTTCTTTGTATCACGTGAAATTGGCCGGTTGTGTTTTCGTTTCAGTCGTCTAGCAGTTGCAAGTTGCGCCTGGGCGTTTGTTGTTGTGTGTTCTTGTATGCCTGTGTATGCGTGTGTTCGTGAATCCACAGCATTAGCAGACAGCAGTTTTACGGACCTGAAGCGAAAGTTGTATTCTACAAAAAATTGTAAGTCGTCAAAAAACTTGCATATGTTTTTTAAAATTTATATTTTTATACTTTTATAATTTTGTATGCCCTTAAATTAATCAGTTTCTTTTAATAGTTTGTTGTTTCTACTAATTCTGTCCGCTCTTATTGTTTACACGCTCTCTGCTTCTCTCTCGATAACGCTCTTTTTTTTTTTTGGCGTTTACTGTTAGTAGCGCTCTCTTGCGCTCTTTTTTCTGCATTGTTTGGCATGGTTTCGCGTGTTTCATATAATCGCGTTGATTCTATACTTTTGCTATATGCAGCGTTGTTGTCTTCTATCTAAATTGTATAGTTTACCGTCGTTTTGTTTTTGCAATTTTATTGCACTTTTTCTTTCCCGTTCTCCTCTCGTTGCATTCCTTAATTATGACATGTGGCTTTCACTGTCGGGTTACTAAAGTTATTAAGCCGTAATTTCAACCTAGGCTTAATACGAAAAACCACCTTTTGTATATTATTCTATCTTCGCAATGATGTTTGTCGCACAGTTAGTTTAGGCGTGTTAATTACTAGTAAATTACACTTCAAATTTAAACACTTTGTTGGAAATTACTCACACCTTCTTTAAACCTATATTCTTATGCCTTCTTTCCGCAAATTATTGAATGTAATTTTATTATTTATCTCTTTCAGACAACTTTAATGCATAGCTCCGTGTAAATACTTATACCACAAGCCACAAAATGATGGAAGTTAAGCAGAGCGCACCGACCGACTTTAACAAGCTTTCAACAGCGAGTAGTAATGGCAAGCCCGATGACTTGGATGTCATGTCAGAATTGGAGACAACAAAACTGAAAAGTGATTTATTAAATACAAACGGTAAATAGAACGCTGTAATTGTGTTTTCATTGATGGAGCTTTGAGAAAATTGTTGCACAAAAGAACACCCCAAAAGAGCTGGATATAATTGAACCTTCTTTAGTAGTACTACCATAGAGATAACGTTAACTTCGGCTGCATCAAAGCTATAATACTCTTCACAGGTGCATTTTCTATATTAGGTAAAAAAGGTTAAAAAGGTATAAAAAAATGTTAGTCTTGCTTTTGGTTAATTTGTGTGAGAGCTTTATGCTATAATTGTCCGATCTGAAAAATTTGCTAGGAGATTATAGCGTTGCATTGAACAATAATTTGTGCCCAATTTGATGTCGGTACCTTAAAAAAGGTTAAGGTGAAGGTCAAATAAAATAAAATTGTATAGGGTCTTCGACGTTTCCTTTTGTGTGTTACAATTTTTGTGGCCAACTAAATATGCACTGTTCAGGGTATAAATACCATAATTTTCATATGCGCTCAACCCCAAGCTCCATCAAGAAAATATTTACTGTTATGCATCTTCTCAAAAACACCAATCTTTTAGATCTGCCACAAAATGGTTTAATCGGTGACGTTTCAAACGGTTTCGCCGATGCCGGCGATGGTCTGGATCTCGATGAACTAATTGATTTAAATGAGACAGTCAATCCTGAATTGGAAGATGCGTTGCTGCGTGAAGACGATGATGATGATGATAATGGTGCAGATGTAGTTGATAAATTGCTGGCTGAAGTGGTGCCGAAAGCGGCCGCCGTACTTGGTGAAAAGGCTGATAAGGTCGAGGATAGTACAACAACAGTAACAACTAGTTTGCATAACACAGGCGATGATCTGGATAAGTTAATCTCGAAAATTAATGATCTAGAAGATTGCATTGAGACATCGTCCTCGGAAAAGGATGACGCAGTGAACGGAAATGCGGTCACAGCTGAGGCAGCAGAAGCAGAAGTAACTGCAGAAACGCCAGAGCAAGTGTCAGTGGAGAAGAAAGATGTGGTGAAAGTTGGAAATGCCGTAGAAGATAGTACGCCGGGTAACAGTGTTGAGAACACCGAAGTTAATGATGATAAGGAAAATGTCAAAACATCAAACTTAAATGACAAAAGCGTTGGGGATATTGATGGAGAGGAAAATAAAGAAGTGGATAAACATGTAAATAGTGATAAAGCTAGCATAAATGAAGAGAATGATAAAATAATTAATAATGCAGAAGATACGGTAGAAAAGGAGGAAACTGAGAGCGACAGCGCAAAGAAAGACTGTAATCAAGTTATTGATGAGATTATAGAAAAAAGTGTTGGTATCACAGCAGAAGAAGAATCAGCTGAAAAATCTAAAGTCATAGAAAACGTCGAAAAGGAAGCTAAAGAATTAGCGAAACGCACAGATGAAGTGGAAACAGCATCAACGGTAAACAGAGACGTTGCAGACAAAGAGTTCATAAATGCCGATGGCACTAATGCTGAAGCGGGCACAATTGCTAACGAGTTGCAAAGCATTAACGCTAAAAGTAAATCCGCAGAGGCGGACGATTCCGATGACGACGTTATTTTTTTTGTAGGAAAGCCGGCAGCGAAGGAAAAGAAGGAAAGCGATGTTGATAAAAACAAAACAGCTGACGGTCAAGTTGCCCAATCGATGGAGGTCGACGACGATGATGATGTTGTACTATTGCTCGATGATGATGATGAAGCGTCGTTGACTGGGGAAAAAAACACTGATACTACAGAAAAAGCCGTCACATCTGAAACCGATAAAAGTGAGAGTGCAACAGATGAAAGAAAATCTAAATTAGCTAAAGACAGTGGTGAGACTGCAATTGAACAAAAAATGGATAAAGGCGAGAGTGTGGCTGATAACACAGCGTTACAGTCAGACAACTCCGACAATGCCTGCGACAAGTTTGAAAGTGTAAAATCAGCGCCAACATCTCAAAAGGACGATGAAACGAAATCCAAGTCTTCAGATGCTGTCGATGAGACAAATAGCAATTGTAGTAGCAGCAGCAATTTGTTACAAGAAACACAAACTATTGATAAGGTCGGTACAGCTGGTAGCACTGGCGACGATGATGGCGATGTCGCGGATGAGCCGGAGAATGAAGATGACGCTGACGCCGATGATGCCGAGAGTAGCAGCGCCATAGAATTATTGGAAGATGATAGTCGCACCGCTGGTGAAGAGAAGGCAATTGAGCCACCGAACAAACGCTTACGCTTGAGTCTTGAGGCTGATGACAGCTTAAAAGCCGAAGATGAATCGCGTAGCAGTAATAAGTCCACCGGTTCTACAGCTAAGGATGATCCGTTTGAGGTCATTAAGATTGCGGAGGACAGTAATGACGGTGAGAACAGTGAAAAGTCGTTGGGAATGTCAACAGCTGTTGGCACAAAGCGAACGCACGATGAAGTTGAACAGAAGAGCGCAGAAGAATCAAAATCCGATTCGTTGGAGGAAGTGGCAAATAAAAAGACTAAAATAGAAGAGTCTGTTACGATTGAGGAAGCGATAAAAACGGAAACAATGAAAGTGAACGAAAGCGATGTGGCCATAGATGAAAAACTTGCAACAGAAAGCAAAGTGGTAAAATCTGAATCAGATGATGAAAAAATTGATTTCGCGAAAGTATTGCCTCAACTTCGCGCTATAGCTTCTGACATTCCAATTCCACTCTATCCAGCACCCAAGTTCTCAAACGGCGTTGCACCCAAATTGAGTTTGGACTTCTTCAAACGGTTTCGCAAGAATTTTGACAAACTCACCAAAACCGATTTGGAAGAGTTGGTGCTGCAGAAAGTAGTTGAAGCCATCGTGCACAAAAGCGAATTCGCTGAAATGCGCGAAACTATCGATAGACAAGAGAAACAAATCACAGCGCATCGAGCGAAAATCGCCGAAATCTCAAAACAGTTTCGTGATTTGGAAATGGTGCACAATCGTGTGTTAAAAGATATCGAAACAAAGAATTCCCAATTCATCATGCCCGTCAAAATTACACGTGCAGTAGGTCTACAAGTGTACGTACCGACTAAGCGCGGCTCAGACGTTGTTCCACCCAGTACTCATCCCCACTTGTCTACATCACCACAACGTGGTCAAATGCCACCACCGTCTTCTCCGCCGCGTCAGCCGAACAGCACGCCTGAAACGCGCTCGAGTAATACGGCGCTGGCCTCAGCTGCGGTGGCAGCCTCTGTGAATGCGCGGCGCGGTTGCGTACAAAAGGTAACACCACAGCGCCCAGTAGATAACGGCATGTCGCCAACCCCACGCCCACCTTCATATCGCATAAATCCTGGTGTTTTACAAACGGCCTTGACACAGGGTTCCCAAACTACAGCTACTGCGGCTGTGTCGTCACAACAAGCCGCCGGCTTGCCTCGTGTTTTGAACAAAGGTGTGGCGTCGGGTCAACCACGAACTGTGCGCTTCCCTACCAATGAGCAAGTGCGCGCGCAACAATTACAACAACAGCAACAATACGCGCGCCCACAAACGCAAAATGCTAACATGTAAGTATAGTTTTAGTGAGTTTTCCTTTACAGTTTCCGAATATTGCTCATTCAGAGAAAAAATATTAAAACAAATTTATTTATTTTTTAAAATTCTACAGTCGCAAATTGGCTCCAAAGCCTAATACTGCTGGCCCCTTACCCACGCAGCAGACACAGTTTCGACGTCCGGTCGAAGCGACGCCTACCGCACCTAACACGTCCGTGGATCACTACATAAACCAGTTGAACCAGGCCTCACCAGCAGTGGGCAGTGTGACAATCACCTCGGCCAAGCCGAAGGAGAAAGCTGTCATTGATCTAACCGATGAGGATGAGGTTGCCAGCGCTGCGACGACAACGTCCCCTATGCAACGTGGCGTCAACACCAATACACCGAACTTGAATAGTGCGCGTGCAGTGCCACCGCTTACGCGCATGCCGCATAGTCAACAGACAACAGTGCGTTCGACAGCGGTGAATCTACGTCAGCCGCCTGCGTCAAAAGCGAGCAATAGTACACTTATATCGAATATAACTACGCCGCCCGGCACCAGCATTACGCGTGTACACATAAGTCCAGCGAATATGCCAGCGGCACCGGCACGCAAATACAATCACCCTGCGCCACTGCCAAATACACCGCCGCAACCCTACAATCCGGGCTGGAAGTTGCCACCGCCACGGCCCACCATACGCATCAGTAATCTAGAGAACGGCATTGTCATCTCATGGACCATGGAAGATTCCATGGAACGTTTTGCCGAGTGCGTCACCTATCAAATTTATGCCTACCAAGAGACATCTGGTCCGCCAGCAGTTGATTCATGGCGCCATGTAGGCGATGTGAAAGCGATGTTACTGCCCATGGCCGTCACGCTGACGCAGTTCCAAGAAGGTCAACGTTACTACTTTGCGGTGCGTGCGGTGGATGAGCACAAGCGTCTGGGACCCTTTAGTTTACCCAAAACATGGACTTAAATATGTGGCTAGGAGTTTTAAATTTTTAGACACAGTAGTTAAGCATAGCGAAATAGAGAGGATTGCTGATTCATATACGCATGAATTTTAATTTTTATTATTTCATTTTTATTTTGTTAGATATATTTTTCACATTATTTAAGTATTTTATATGCAGGCTTTACAACCTCTTATTTATTGTTTATGCAAGCAGAATTAACCGTTATGTGCGACTATGTAATATAAAAAATATAATTGTAGTTATGATAAGTTTCTTTTGAACTAAAAACAAAAACAAATAAAACACAAACTAAGCTATACAACAACATCATCACAGTCATGCGTTAAGTAAATTGCGTTATATAAGTTATTGTTTATTTTTCACCACATATTATAATGTTTCGGCGAATTTCCAACCCCCAATAAATAGAAGATATATGTATGTAGTCTAGAACTAACGAATTACTCGTAATTCTTAAATTAGGTCTCAATTAAAATAAATATTAATTAAAATTGAAATATTGGCATATTTGAGTATAATACAATAGTTACAGCATATGTTTAACATAAGTATTTTTAATCATTATTAATATTAATATTATACCTTAATGACATAGTTACATAGTTCAGCAGAAATAGCGAGATATTGAAATTACACTCAAAATAACATAAAACAAGCGAATAAATTTATTTAATTAATGTAAGAACCGATTACTTTTCAATTACATAATTTTGAAATGTATGCTGTTGTTGTTGTAGCGAGTACCTACAGTTTAGGTCCTAAACCCAATCCAAACAAGTTTGATTAGCGAAATAACAGCTCTTGACCGGATGAAATCCGACTCTTCGGCTTTACAGTTTCCGGCGATTCCGCTACGACCACGGCTAAAATCCGGGTCAATTCTGGTAACGTAAAACCGGCTTTTCATTAACACTTGAAGGTCAAGTAAAAATATTTTTATATTTTTCCAATATATTGCTGTAGTAAGCTGTATAAGTGTGTGCGATCGGGCTACGCTATATGGCGTTAGAAAGATAAGATTTTGAACTGGAAGCCCTCTCAGACAGTTTTGCATCGCATCAAAGGTCGAGACAAGCAAAGAGAAAATACGACATATTTTACAGTTTTTCTACGATAAAGGCGAAATCGCAAACAAAAAATGTGAATAGTGGCGAGTCCGATTACACCCAATTTTGATTGCCCAAGAGCTGAAGATTGCACAAAAAACCGTTTGGTACTATATATTGGGTAAATAATGCTGAATACGAAAAGGAACTCGATGTATGGGTGATAGAGGAGTTAAGGAAAAAAAATTTTATAAACCAAATTTCCATCTTCGAATCGATGCTGAATCGCAAAAAAATCAAACCATTGCCGAAACGGTTAGTTGCTGGTTATAAAAAGTAGGTCACTTACAACAACGTCAAGTGAAAACGGTTGCGGTTGAATCGTGATCATTTGGTCCAGCTAGGACTGACGGTCAGGATGGTTTTGCAATGTCTTCGGTGGGATAATACTACTACCTACTTAATTAATCGGACATGCACTAGTTGGGCGGTTCTTATGCATCAACCTTATAGTCCGAACCTGGCGAGTGATTTTGCTTTTAAAAAGTATGCCTCCAGAGAAGCTTGTGTAAATCGAGTGTCCAGGGGCGAGGGAGAGTGGCATTATGAAATTAACTTCAAAATGGCAACAAGTTATCAAACAAAACGGTGCATATTTCACCTAACACGGGTCAATCCAACTATGCTAAAAGATATTCAATTTAATGCCAAAATATAGGATTTATCTTCACTAGACCTTATATTTTCGAAACGGTGCTACTTTTACGTTTTCATATTAAGACCCATTAAAATGATGCCATCCTAGTGACATAGTCCGGAACCGAGAGTCGAACTGACATCGGTACATGTTGCATGTAAAAATTGAGGCAGTCGAAAACATCTTATGGAAGTTTTCGTTGGCGAAAATGGAATTTACTGAGTCGAAAATCATGCTACTAGCTAGTTGTGGACTCCAACTTCTGTGGACTCCAAGACTTATAAAAGGATTTCAGTCCACTTCCTTCTTGAATTATTGACGACCATTGATTGTTCTTGTCTCTCGTTTTGTATCTTGTCCTTGTCTCTTTTTGAGTTAATAAATCAGACACAACATGTCTTTCCACATTGGCTTATTCGATCGTCATATGTCTGTATATACTTTTCAATAACAGTCAGCTTTGACTTATCTCGACTCAGACTCAAAAGCGTAATGTTTCCAATTATTTTTAGTAATACATGGATATGACCAGCAAAAGATTTCACACTATCCATACATCATATGTCATTATTATTAATTAAGCATATTCAATGCTACTTCGGCCGGATGGGCCCCGGAAACTCTCCGCGCTCCAGGGTTATCGCAACTTTTATTACATCGAAGTCGACCCAATATGAGTTCAGCTGAGATTCTCTTCTGTTAGAATTGATTTGTTATCCCCTATACTGTCATATACTAACTATATGATACCAGGTCTTCACTTTAAAAAAATTACTTTCAATTTATAAAATTATATAGTTACGAAATGGCATTAAAATTAGACCTAATGTAGAGGCTCTGCGAGGACATGCAACCGTTACATTCACCGCATATTCATTAAACGGTTGCACTCAAATTTGTAGGCAAGCAAATTATTGGTTAGTTTCCAAATATACTATTATGCCATGGAATCTTTTATTCAAAATCATGCTGAGAAACATTAAAAACATTTCAAGGAAATAAAAATTGGAGCAAGTTTGGTCACCTAATTGCAAACGAAAGCCAACAATTTCCTCACTCACACACGAAGGAAAACTAATCGAAATATGTACTTATATGTATGTATGTATGTGGTCTATAGTCCCAATAGGAAATCTGAAAATTTCGCAAAATTTAATGAAGTGGAAACAGGCATTGGATTTGATTTTCACTCCACGAACTTAATCGAGTTCGGTCGAATGCGCCTGATCTTTGTAGCAAAACTTGCAGATGCATCCTTCGATGATCCCGAATATTTTTACCGAGAACGGCGAAAACTATATTGTGTTCATGCTTCACAAACAAAGACAGAGTCTCTAAGGTGAATAAGGAAGTAAATGTCAAAGTAATTCTGCAGCATTTCCGCACTATTATTACCAACAACCGGATTTAAGCTTTAGTTTATTGGTATTATGAGTTTATTCAAAAAAAATTAAAAATTTACAATTCTTTCTTAAGTTCCTATAGGCCCTGTTGTTGAATATATGTATGTACATATGTATATGTGGAATTTGTATTTACATGCATGGACGAAACGTCAATCACTTAATTTTGGCACAATTTCAAATATTGTGAATGATTGTTTTGTTCCAACTTTCGTTCTCTTGCTTAGATTGAAAGGAGGAAAAGGAGGTCAATGAGACTCAAAGTCAAAATCAAAGGTTTACAGAATATCCTTCAATGTAAAAGCAATGAAAAATAAAAATAGCGCTCTTATTGTGACAATTCAAGCGTTTAATGGATACTAACTTGTAATTAAAGCTGTCACATGAAATGTCATCTGATATTATTGAACATTTTATTTAGAGTAAAAATAATATTATATTTGCTCCTTTTAATCAAGTGGTTATTTTTAGATTGTAAGGTATTTTAGGTTTGATCCCCAAAATAAAAAATCTTACATATTTTCAAAACAATAAAAGTAATAATTGACGTTGTGACTTTGTCGAAGTCGTGGGATTTGTGTAACGATATTTCTTTCAGTCCTCTTTTACCGACTGTTTGTCTAGAAACTAGTTCTATTTATTTAGGGATTTCAGAAATTTAGTGAGATTAAGTTGTAAGGACTTTGTTCGAGTGTCTCCCCAACTTTAATAGAGTTAACAGAAAAGCTCCAGATCTTTAAAGATTTTTTAACTCGATTACATCGTCAAAATTATCGGAAACGGTCATTAGAGAGAATGATAATGCTTTGCTTACAATTAGTATGACAGTTTAACAGTTCCTTTCGTTTATGACGTAGCGTGTTGCAATCTGGTTCTCTATCATGTTTGATATAAACTCTTTAAGCTAACTACACGGAGTTGGGCAATATACACGCAAGATATTGCTCGAATAAGTTTCCGTCAGGAGTTACATGGGTTTCCTCGCGCAAAAAACGGTTAATTTTCAATAATTTTTTATTATTCCAAAGATACATATTTTGCAAAGATTTTGAAAACTTTTCAAAGGAACATATTCAAAACTCGGCCATTCCGACGACATTTCCTCGGAAAAAGGTGCCTCCGCGTTAACAGCAGAACTTCTTACAGGATTATTACAAGTAAAAAGAAAGAAATATGTGTTTTAATTAGGACCAGAAATTAGGCATTGGGCGAAGGAAAAACAAAAAAATTGAAAGTTGCTTTTTTGGCAGACGTTTTTACAAATATATGCAAATTTTTGTAAAAATTTCTCGACGTGTTTTGTTTATTAGATAGTTGAAATTGAACGAACAATCCTTCGTTCTAGCCATCAAGTAGTAAATTATATCTCGAAGACATGTGTAAAATGTTATTGAAATCGGTTGAGTATTTCGCGAGAAATCTTGACAAACGACTTTGAAAACAAAGTTTCGAGAAAAATGCGTTTTAAGTTTTAAGTGACTATACATATTAGACCTCGAGCGCGCAAATTTTCAAGGCTGTATCTTAAAAATTATTTTACGGACCATTTTGTGAGTTTAGGAAAATATTCTAGAGATTTTATAAAATTTAATATAAAGGTAAATTTTTTTTGTTATTTGGAAGCCGTGAAACCCATGTACAATAACTCCTTAAAGAAAAGGGCTAAATTATTATCTTTCTAAAGTGGAAATGTTGTGGTGAAGAAGAGAGTATTCAAAGGAAATTTAATAATCGAGGTTACTGTAACCAAAATCTATAGGTATGAAGATATTTAAAATACGTCCGCTAAACTTTTTCATATATATTTATTATGTGCCTCAACTGACTCATTGTCATTGCCAACACGAAGCAAGGATAAAAGTTCATGTTGGCTGTCCTTGAAAATTAACTCGATGTAAACACACATACCACGACATAAACAATTTCAACTGCACTCGGAGATAATAGCTGTACTCAAGCGTTCGTTTACACAAATTCAATTCGTTACGAAATGCGAACGAGCGCGTTCAATGCGCCAATTGCTAAAAATTCCCACACATGCAGACTAAACACATACATTTATGAATACGTGCATGTGTATATCAAGAATGTATCAATGCAGTAATCAGTTATTTTTGAGACAAAAAATATTTCTGATAATTCGGAAGGAAAGTCTCGTAAATCCGAAGGTTAGTAGGCTAGAGTAGTGGTTCTTGTTCAGGCTCGCGAGAAATCAATTTATTACTTGGAAGATTATATAATAATAAAGTTCATATACATTAGCTGCATCCACCAAAAACTTTGTAGGATGGTGAAAGCAGGTCTGCAAGATGTAACTAGCATTCATAATTCTTCGACGGCGCTAAACAAAGGTTCTTCTCCGTTGATGAAATATAAAAAACAATTCGCCACTAAAAGTTATTGTCCGTACAATGACCAAAATGTCGGCGTTTTAAAAAAACAGTTGAGTTTAACCCACAATTCGGATCGTTTTCGGTGTCCCAAAATTCGATTTTTGATCTTATAAAAAAACTTGTAAGTCATTGTAAAGAGAACTAATG